GTTTTTTTATTAATTTTTTGTAGACTCAGTTCACCTCGGAGGCCTCCATCAGCTGCACGATATTATCTCACAGATCAGAAAGTGCCTCGTTGGGAAGGCAATTCTCGAGCATCCCCAGCACATGGAGAAGGAGGAGTAAAAAATGCCACCGCTGGCAGCAGTGCCTGGAAGCCCTGCGTTCAGCGGGGGCCCCAGCATGCGAGGCGGCTCCTCCCGGCCTCGGCCTCCTCCACCGGGGATGTGGTGGCCGAGAGGCAGCGGGGACGCGGAGCCCGGTGGCGGGTGCTGAGGGGGAAGGGCTGCTGGCTGCTCTGATATTAAAAAGTGCCTCCCTGCCACTGGGGAGTTCTCACCCGGCCGCTCCCGGGAAATGTACCCCCTCCATACCGTTGAGAGCATCGGCGTTCGGAACGGGGAAGGGATCTGCCTGTCCCCGGCGATAGGAACATGCAGCCCTTTGTCTCTCTAGACAAGGTGCGATATTCAGCTGCGGGCCATGAAAATAAATACGCCAAATGGCTACCGCGACCCCCTCCTATCCCTCGGGGAGGTGGGCTCGCCCCGAGGCCCCACCATGCCCGGGAAGGGCTGGTGCCGACCGGGCTCAGCGGGAGGCCGTGTGCTTGCGGCGGGGCGGACGGGGATACAGGACCGCGGCGCCCCGCGGCTGGAAAACCCGGAATGCTCCCGTCCCGCTGCGCACATCCCCAGATGTCCGGGCTGACCGGAGCACCCTAAAGGCCAGGAGTCGGGGAAAGGCAGAGCGGACGCTGGACGGTGCGGAGCCTGAGGCGGCACCGCTACCCCCTCAGCGAAGGGCGGCTGCGGCCGGGGATGCTGCCTGCCAGGCGTGCCCGCCGACCCCCGGCCGGACCCGGCACGGCCCGAGAGCTGCCAAAGGCGTTACGGCGCACCCACCGCGGCCGCCGGCGAAGGCCGCTGGGGCGGCGCTGGCAGGGTCCGGGCGCGGAGCGGAGCTGCCGGCGGTGCCCCCGCGGGTCCCGCTCCCCGCAGCCCCGTTCGAATCTGGCGGCGCGGGGGAAGTTCCGCGGGCGCGAGAGGTGCGCAGGCGCAAGATGGCCTCTGCCCGGGCGCGGGGGGCGCGGAGCGGGGCGGCCCGCCCGTGGAGGGGCAGCCGGCGGGGGCCCGGCCGCGCCCGCGGCACCGGCAGCGCCGAGCGCCACGTTTCCACCCCGGCCCGAGAAGCCGAGTTCCCGCCGGCGGAGGCGACGCGGAGAGAAACGCGGCAGAACCGCAGCTCCCGGCTGGGCTCCCGGGGCGGGCAGCGGCCGCCCGGCCGGCGGCGGGGAGGCCCACGGGCTCCTCGTACCCCTGGGGCAGCGCCTGCCTCCGGCACCGCCACTCGCGGCCATTCCGAGACTGCCGCTGTCTTGCCCGACGCGGCCGCGGCTTCGCGGCAGCGACCGGGGATGGAAGTCCCTCTCCCTGCCCAACCCCGGCAGGAAAACCTCCTTTGCCGTGGGTGTTACGTGTCCTTCATGCTCTACCCGTTACTGACATTGATGGTGTTCTTTTTTTTTTTTTTTTTTTTTTT